TGCAGTCGCGGGGAGGAGTTGCAACACTCCCCGCGACTGCATCCGTTCTGCGGTGGTATGACTCACGGCAAATTGCAGCCGCGGCGCGCACTTGATTGTACGCACTGTATTTATGTGATTCTTATTGACCATTTAAAACCATATTACGAGTATTATGTACAGTGGTTTTCGGCAGAATAGACAGCAGGCTGTAGCGTGCATATGAGTTATGTATCATACACGTATTTTCAAGGGGAGCATATTATCTCCATTTTCCTTATAGGAAATGCCACACCGGAAACGCATGTTGGAGGAAAGGGGAAGTAAAGCACTAGAATTTTAACCTCGATTAAAACATAGATGAGTGGCACATGTTTCAAATTAAATTGAAATTTAAGGCTCAAATTGTATTTTGCAGTGAACCTGAAACGGATTATCTTATATTCTTCTATAGTTTTGTGCTAACTCTTTATTAAACATCATAAACCTGAAGTTTATAAAATTCATATTTGAGAATTCACTTCCTACCTTCCAGAAGATATATTACGCTTCCATTATGAAGATCGGTTAGTTCATACTGTTCAGGAAAATAATCGCTGTTTATTATGAGAGTCATACGAAACACATAAACAAACCTATGAGAAAAAAATTAACACATTGGTTTCCGAGAAATGTGGTACCCCCGCCTTCACACATATACCCTGAGGCAGTAATCAGCACTTCTCTCCGAAACGTTTGTACCTCCATCAAACTCTACAGCGTCGCGTTCCTGAGAACAGCTGTCATAATAACTGCTGTGAGAACCTTATATCTCACAAATCCTGCGTTCCGTTTAGTTCGTTTATGGTTTAAACTGCTAGTTTGGGTCTTACTCAGGGGATACGGAATCTGGATGCAACTTAGCATTGCAAATGAGATGCTGATCTGTGTATGTTAAGTGTAGTCTTCTGTGGCCGGGCTTTTAGGCTTGTATGTAAGCCAGTGCCAAAGAGATCGAAATCTGCCGTAGTCTTCATGACTACTTTCCTTGTCTACACAGTAGTCCAGATCAGCAGTGCTCAGCCTCTTCCACGACGCGCTACGCCTCAGTATGGTTCAGCATCTCGCAACACACCAAAGAACATGTGTGTGTGTGTGTGTGTATGTATGTGCGTTTTTCAGTGTTTATGTACAAGTAGAGGCCTTGCCACGAGCTGATCACATACTCAAGGAGTCCTACCGAATGTCTAAGATCTAGTAAACCGAAGTGAAACAAAGTGTTTCATGAAGGTAGGCCATGGCCAAAGTTGGGGCTGTAGCGCCAGAGGAAAAAATCCATAAAAAGAGTTATTACGTGGACGGATACTGACAAGAATTGAAATTGGCTGACGCAATTTTCTGAGAGACCTTCAAATATGACATCTAATCGAGATGCAATCATTAGTTTCAGGGACGAAACATACGAACAGATTGACTTTATCTCCTCATTTTGCATTTAATTTATACATGTGACACAACATTGACTTCTCTAAACGTTACACTATTTACCGAAGAAAAATTTTAAAATATTCTTCTATACAAAATTTAAAATTATAATTAGAATGAGCAAGGCAAGGAGATGAGGTGGGAAGAACATGTAGCACTAATGGGGGAGAAGGTGAATGCATATAGGATATTGGTGGGAAAAGCCAGAAAGAAAGATACCACTGGGAAGACCAAGGCGTAGGTGGGTGGACAATATTAAAATGGATCTTAGAGAGATAGGATGGGATGGATTTGATTGATCTGGCTCAGGATAGGGACTAGTGGCGGGCTCTTGTGAACACGGTAATGAACCTTCGGGTTCCATAAAATGCTGGTAAATTCTTGAGTAGCTGCAGAATTGGCGGCTCATACAGAAGGGATCACCCTCATATATAAGTAAGTACGAAGTTTAAAATTGTCTTCCTTTCCTCTACCTTCCAACTTGGGGCTTATTGTTAGTGTTGTCAGTGTTTAAAGTGTACTTTATTTCGCTAATTTAACAAATGTGACAAATATAATAGTGTTGTATTATCGAAAGTTCGAGACGGAGAGATTCGAGAAGATGAAATCGAGAGGTAGTTATATTATTTTGTTAAAGATAAGCTTACTTAAATCCTCTTACTGCTACTTAGCGAACATCACGTAACTCAAGGAAGGCTCTGTTGCGGTCTTGTTAACATTTTCTCCTCCGATTTCTACTCCATAAGCTCGCACGAACCTCTTGTTTTTAGCGAATCGCTTTGTCTAATGATGAATTTAATGCAGAGAAACGATTGAAATATGTTCGGGCATTCACTTTGTCACAATCTTCCTATACGTTCAAGGCAGTAACTCATTGTTAATCTGTTTCGTAGCCTGTTTCTCTTTTGAGTCTTTGTGTACACTCTGAAAGGATATGAAATTGTTGTTTTATTCTTTGACGCCTTGATTCATGGGTAATTGCCTTGTATGAGTTTCATTCATACGATAATATATGAATAATTACAATAAGATCCGTGTATTATTCCAGTCTGCTAAGAATGTCCCTCGATGAATGGAAGGAATCTTTATCCATTGGTACGACTGTAACTATTGAACGTCTAAAAAGACTCCGTGGCCTGTACTCCGCAAGCGAACTGTACCGATCGATCGACCGCCGCTTGTAGGCGAAGTTAGTGCCAACTTTTGCGGATAGAGGGTGTTGCGTGGCCAGTGCAATGGATCCCCACGGCCGTTAATCTCGGTTTTCTAGACCGGAGCCGCTATTCCTCAATTATCCTCACGAGGCTGAATGGACCCCGTTCCAGACACACTAGTCCTCGGAAAATCTGGTAGCGCCCGGAATCGAACCCGGATCTCTGAATCTGTACCCAGGAATTCTGACCACTAGACCACAGAGGCGGTGTAGGTGGATATAATGAAAGTTTTGATGTCCTGTTTAAGACTAGAAACTTCTCCCATATTCCACTAATATTTTTCCTTTAACAGTGAAAACACGATGCTATAAAACTATACTTGCCGATTGTGAGGTCGAGTCAAATGAAAATATTATTTTTTTACTAACTAATATAGTGAAAATAGTTTCGTAGAGAAAAAGAAATCCTTTGACTGCATGCAAAGCAACTTCTGCGACGATACGAAACAGAAAGTGGTGCTTGTTGAAGTACATAGCCACTGGAGAAGAAAACTGGGTCCACTTCTACGAGTGCGAAACAGCAAAGAATGGCGCCATCCCAACTTACCGAAACCCGAAAGTTTCCGCACGCCGGCATCTGAGGGTAAATTGATGCTGGCGCTATTCTGGGATCACCAGGTTTCACTTGTAGAACAGAACACTTCCAAGAAAACCACAATCACAAATGCCTCGTATTACAACCTCCTAACGAATCATGTGAGACGAGCCATCAGATCGAAACGTCGTGGACCGTTCAGTGCTGGTGTCTTATTGCTGCATGACAACGCCAGAGACGATCAGGCACATTCGAGTGTCCCCCTCTTCCACTGTTCTCGCGTCACTTTGCTCCTTGTGACTGTCATGTCCTTGGGCCACTCAAGGAGGCGCCTGGTGGAAAGTCTTTCCGATCCGATGAAGAAGTCCAAGAAGCGATGAGTGAGTGACTACGCTTGCTGACTCTTGACTGGCTAACTGACCTATCATACATTCAGTTGACTGACTGAAATAACTGACTGACCAGGACGCGCCATAGCTCAAGCGGTTAGTCGCTGGCTTCCCACCGCGGCGGCCCGGGTTCGATCCCGGGTCTGGTNATCAGCTAAGTATAAGAGAAAATGTATGGCAAATGGAAAAACTAACTAAGAAATGAGTATCAAACTGACCAATTAACGAAGTAACTGAGTAAATGTCCGCCTAACTTAATGATTTATATTGTCTGTCTGTCTCACTCATTCATGGAGCTGAGCCCATCTTGACAAGTCGCCAGTTGTGCAGCTACTCAAGAACTTCCCAGCATTTTATAGAGCTCGAAGATTCATTACCGTGTTTACAAGAGCCCTCCACTGTTCCCTATCCTGAGCCAGATAAATCCAATCCATAACCTCCCATCTTATCTCTCTAAGGTCCATTTTAATATTGTTCACGCACCTACGTCTTGATCTTCCTAGTGGTACTGTCTGTATGGCCAGTTAAATTACATGAGTATAATTACCAACTTGTAGTTCCTGTACCGAGTTCGCCATTTTAGAGATATCAGCATAATTAGCTCTTTCCAGAACTTGTTGTCGCATTAGTCTCTTTGTTTGGCAGGTATATGCGAAGAGTGTGTATTGGCACGCATCAGAGTGGAGGAAATGGAACTTCTGCAGTATGAAAAAGCCACGATTTTTGTCCGCAAGGTTGCAGTCACTGGCGCCAGCAATGATCAGATGCAAGATTCTGGGAAGAGCACTAGCGCTCCACTGTCGGAGCACAAAGACGATCCTGAGTACCAGGTTAGTGGACGTTTCGGCTTATCTAACTGCATAGTACATGAGTCATCTCTTGAGAGTTAATTAGTTGGTCAAGAAATTCTTTGTTATGAAAGCCGAAGGTTTATAACTGTCTTGACAAAACCCATAATTTGACTTAGTCCAATGCCAATTAAATACACTTCACATTCTACATTCTTTTTAAAATCCAATTTTAATGTTATCCTTCTATCCTATATGTATTCATAAAAATGTCTTCCCCATCAGGTTTTCCGACCAGATTTTTTTATGAAGGCCTGTTTCTCGTTTACGCCGTATATGAAAGAGTGAAAGAAGGATTTGGAAGTAGCAGGCACTCGTGGCCTTCTGCAGGAACTATCTCGGCATTCACTCAGTGAAAGTGTGGAAAATTATGAAACATCTGTCGATCCAACCGCTAACGCGATTGTGGTATAGTGACCCAGTTCTGTAGCGACTTAACCCCTTAAAGACAGAATTTCTTCAAAATAATGTTTACAGATTATGCTTGAATAAATAGGAACTTCATTCACCAAGTGCAATTAGAATGATCAAATCAAAGAGGATGAGATGGCCGGAGAATGTAGAACGCATGGGGAGAAGAGGAACGCATGTAAGCTTTTGGTGGGCAAGCTAGAAGGAGGCCGGTCACGGTAGCCGAACGGCCTAAGGCATGCACTCTCTTCGCTCGCTCGGAAGCCGGGATCGTGGGTTCGAATCCCACTCAGGGCATGGATGTTTGTGTCCGTTTTTCTGTGTTTGTCTACAGGTAGAGGCCTTGCGACGACCTGATCACTCGCCCAAGGAGTCCTACCGAATGTGTAAGATCTAGAAAAAACCGAAGTGAACGGAGTTCATGGAGGTAGGCCTAGGCCCACTGGGGCTGTAGTGCCAAGGGGGGGGGAGCTAGAAGGAGAGAGACCACTGGGAAGACCTAGATGTAGGTGGGATAATAATAATATGATGGATCTTAGAGATATAGGATGGGGTGATATGGACTGGATTGATCTGGCTCAGGATAGGGATCAGTGACGGGCTCTTGCGGGCACGATGATGAACCTTCGGATTCGATAAAATGTTGGGAAATTCTTGAGTAATTTCACAACTGGCGGATTCTCAAGAAGTACCTAGCTCCACGGAGTTAGTTAGTTAGTTAGTTAGTTAGTTAGATCTGAATATTCAGTATTCAGTATTGATCTGTACTGGTGGAAATACGAAGATTTCTGGCAATGGCGGGTGCTTCCGATCTTCAAATCTTGTTGTCATCTTGAAATTAACTTATCACTAAATCAGGAAAAAAAAAGAAATAATCACCATTTACAATGGTAATCTGGTGAGCCGGGATAGTTTAGTCGGTATAGCGACTAGCGACGGGGTGGACGACCAAGAGATCGGAGTTCGAATCCCGGTAGGGTCAGGAATTTTCTCTTTTCCGCGTTTCCCAGACCTGCTCTGGGGTCCGTCCAACCTCCTATCCAATGGGTACCGGGGGTAAAGCGGCCGGGCCGTGAATCTGACCACTCACCTCCAACTATTGTCGAGGTCAAGAAAATGTGGATATATACACCCGCTCCCCACACGCCTTCATAGTGTAGTGTTTAATTAGTTAAGCACAGGGACAACTTAACCTTTTTTACCTTTTTAAGATGACAATCTTGCGTACCCGTTCGTGATTTTTCCATAGACACAGCCATCGAAGTTCTTCTGTAAATCTATCCCCTCTTCGCGCCTGCATTTGAACTCCCGTCCCCACCTCATAATGCCCTCTCTCTGAGATTTATAGCTATTCTTTTTACGTATCGTTGAGAATGATAAATTTGATAAGATATCAACACATTCATATTCCGCATGTAGTCCGGATGCTAAGTATATCTAATCTTCAGATTCTCATGAATATGAATAGTGGGCTTAGATTTAAATACTGCTGCTGATTTATCACATTAAATTGCAGAAGGACCGTTTTATCTGTGTGCTGTGTCTGAGACATCTTGATTCTGATAATGAAAACAGACATGTATATTTGACAACCTAAAAGGACACTGTTCATAATAATAACGTTTGGAGTTAGGTTATATGAAACATTGCATAACAGATAATATATTTGTGTTTTATAATTGAAAACATTCCTCGGGCAATACGTGTTATGTTGTTATGTTCAAAAGAAAGATCCCGAGAAAATATTAGTACCTGAGTTTGTTCTTTTGCTGGTCACGGTAGCCGAGCGGTCAAAGGCGTGCACTGTCTTCGCTCGCTCGGAAGCCGGGATCGTGGGTTCGAATCCCACTCAGGGCATGGATGTTTGTGTGCGTTTTTCTGTGTTTGTGTACAGGTAGAGGCCTTGCGACGAGCTGATCACCCGCCCAAGGAGTCCTACCGAATGTGTAAGATCTAGAAAAACCGAAGTGAACGGAGTTCATGGAGGTAGGCCTAGGCCCACTGGGGCTGTAGTGCCAAGGAAACAAAAAAAAAAAGATGAAAGTGCGTATTGATGTCAGTGTGCCATCAGTATGATATTCTGGAATATAATACCGTGTAACCCAGTATGCAGGTACGGTCGTTTCGGAGAAATCAACTATCTCCACATTCATCTAACCTGAAGATGAAGGCAGTAGATTCCTCTGAAACTTTGGTACCCAACTATCTAACTATACAGAGTAACATCCCAGACAACCGATGTAATGACCTCAGATCTTGTATCAACTGCAAACACTACAATGAGACGCCTCATGGTTTCCAAAATATACGGAATTTCTGTCAAACGCTTAAAGATCTAAAGTGAGGTAGCAAGTTGACGTGGTAAACCTAGACGTAGATATCGGATAATATTAAAATTGGGTTTAAAACGATATGTTATAAGGATATTAGCGGGATTTCATTTCAACGGCTCCATTTCATGTACATGTTGATGAACGTTAGGGAGAATAACTGTCAGATGTTTCGCCGTTTGAAGCTTGAAATTAATTTAATTAATATTAAAAAAAATCAGTGTGTACCTCATGGAAATACACTGTGTCTTGATAACAAAGGCCAATCAGTTAATACAACTTATGGAGTCTTATGACTGGAGTGTGTGTGTGTGTGTGTGTGGCAAAAAGGAAGGGCTTTTTGATGTCGAAGCAGGTAGGTACGTATAATGTTATGTGTTAAAGAGTTAAGTGAAATCCTGCATCATGGACCTGGATCCATCCTTCTCTTTTGCACGGTGACGTGATCCTACATCGCAGATGCTCTTAGATTCGGCAGCCTCTTCTACAGCGATCGTATCTATTAGAATGCTGCAGGCCACTACGAACACAATGATGGCTCTTATCAACACATTTTTCAGTTCTAAAATTATTAAGAATAGATAATTATTATCATTAAACACCCTATTAATAATCTTGGCGTCTTTCTTCCTTCTCTCGAATCTAAATGCTTTTAACCCTGGAGCCGGTTATGTCTACTGTTCTGTAATTTAGAAAGACGATGATGATGATTGTTGATTTCCTTTTTATGAGTACCTGGTAACTATTTCTTGTGGTATAGGGTGATACTTCAGGAGGTATCTCCTAGTTCTAGTTATGACTTGATTCATTTAATAATTTCCTTGATTCAAACTGTTTAGGTTATGTCGACCGGAATCATAATCAAATTCTGTACCAGTTTTGTGTAACTTTAAAAACGTGATAAAATTATCTCTGGCGACCAGTTCCGTTAATTTGGAATCGATTCCTTGATGGTGGAATTAAATAATGTCTTGGAAAACTTGGATGTCCATCCAGAATTGATCTGATCACTTGTAGTTACCGTGTAGGCTTCAGGTTGCACAGAGTTATGAAAGTTTGTTAAAATAGGAATGTCCCGTGTACTTTCTGTTCGATGGTATAGGAGCTGTTTGTGGTGATGCGTTAATTAACATTATGCCCAAGTTAACATTTATACTGAAATATGCAAGGAGAAGGAAGAATGTTTTCTAACAAATTTTTAACATTGCTGGGGTTGGAGTCCAACTGGGTCCATTCGGCACGGCGGCCACTGATTGGCCTATTGTAGCCTGCCCCGGGTGATGATGATGATGATGATGATGGAGAATTTGGTGGAATGAAGATTGGCGGGGGAAACCGAAGTACTCGGAGAAAACCTGCCCCAGCGCCACTTTGTCCACCACAAACCCCACTTGACGAGATCCGGGATCGAACCCTGGCCGCCGCGGTGGGAAGCCAGCGTCTAACCGCTTGAGCTATGGCGCAGCCTTGCTAGGGGTTAGGATACATCTTGCAGTGCGTGAACTGTGTCCTGTAGGGAGATGGGATGGTAGCATCTGAGGAGCTGAGGCCGACGCGAATGCAACGGCTAGTACCGCACGATATTGTACTATGTACGGACTTTTCTGTAGGTGCTGAAAGTGACACAAGACCTGTCGGCATAGTCTGGTTTCATCTGTTGTTGCTATTGTCACGTATCCTGGTAACGCGACAAGAAATGAATGGGTTCTGGGTTAGACTAAGCTGTTTATTCGATAAGTTGTTTGCAATTGCAATTACAATCACCCAAAAATAACGTCTTCCATGCTGTGCCATCTGGCTAGTCCGTCGTCTTATGGTTCTTAGCTGAGCTGGTTTCTTTTGTTCTCAGCTTTGCTCCGTTCTCCTCTCAAGTCACATCAAAGTCACATTGCGACTTACGGCTCATGACCAGATATTTATTACTGTTTGACAGTTACGGTCTTGTTTTTGTGTGGCGACCTCTCTGACGAGAGGACGGGTCTTGACTTTTGTATATGCTGCTGGCCCTTGCAAGCGCAGTCTTTCTTGTGTCCGAGTCCCTTAGGAATCGCGACCATATTTTACTGTCTCGGATTTGAGACTTCCCTTCTCGTCACCTCCTATGACTCGCAGGGTTACGGTTCAGGTGTTCGAACCCGCCTCCATACGGGTCTCGTTCTCCGCTCTGTTCTGGTCTGGTCTCTTATATTCTACAGTCGGACGGACTAGAGGACACCTTCAAGGATTTCGTTTCACGTGGAT